CCTATTTTTTTTTTATTGTTGAATCTAATCTAGTAATATATAATCAAAAGGTGGAAAAGGATCCTTGCTATTTATAACCATTCCCAGTAAGATTTTGTTCCATGGTCCAATGTTTTAACATATTTTAATTTTATAAAATTAATTCTAGTTAAAAGTGGGTTTGAAGTGAAACAATTTATGTTTGAATTTTTTTATCTCAATTTTGTAGTATGAAAGCTTTCAATTTGGCGCAAAAGCTATATATTTTTCTTGAAGACAAACATGCTTTCAATTTAAGACTAAAAAACTATAAAATAAAATAAAATCCAAACAAGTAATTTTAGGAGAAATATAAAGTTTTAATTTCAAACTCAAGTATGGAACTCTCAAATGTACATTTAAACACATTATTAGATTTTGATAAAATTAATATTGAAACAATTGAGGTTCAAAGAATTAATTTTTAAAAAATCATATTAAAATATTTTTTTTCACACATTGATAAAATATTTAAAAGTGAGTTTGAAAGGATTTTATTTGAATAGTAAATTATAAAAAACTTTTGAAATATTAATATGAAGAAATTTATGACTTCCAATGTTAGAGTCAATTTTACTCATTAAAAAGTTAAAATTTTTCATTTCTCTCAATATTAATTTGATTTACCGAAAATTAAATAATTTAACCTTTAAAATAAGGAAAATGTTAAAAATCAATGGAAAGAATTTAGGCATTTAAAAATAAAAATTTATTATTGAAAATGAAAAATATTTATTATAATGTTATATATATTTTAAATTTAAAACTATTTCATTTTTTAATAGAAAAATGTCTGTTTTTAGATGTTCAAAATCAATCTAAAAAATTGATATTAACAAGAGTGTTAAAATTATTCAAACATAAATGTTACTGTATAAAGCAATTTTTGCCACTGCGATAGGTTGTTTGACTTTTTAAAAAAAATAAAAAATAGAAAACGTTGTTTTGAATATTTAAAATTGAAAGCTCTCCAAAAAATGAGAAACGGTGGATCAAAGTATGGTTGGAAAAATGGGCAACAAACCCCATAGAGTAATGCCTCAAGCTGTTTGGTCTGCGCCATTCTGATTTCAGAGCCCATATTTCTCTTTCGCAATCTTCACTTTAACAACAAACATAAATAGGATTTGTTATATAAAAAAAATATACATTTATTATTTTAAAATTATAAAAATATAATAAATACTTTTTTAAATTATTTTTTTATTATTAACTGCAAGTGATTGACCTTGATCATTTGAAGAGGCCACTGCTTTCATGCATGGTAGTTTTAGAATATTGTAACCCTTAAAATGGAGTGTGTTACAATCACCAAATACTATACCCACCACTACTGTATTCAATCATCTACAGCCATAAAAAAAAAATCCCTATCAACCATTCGACGTGTTGGAGGATTTCAGTAAGATCAATAATATGTTTTCCTTCTTCTTTTAACTTTAACCTAATCAATAAAATAACATCCACTAGTATTTATGAAGAATTTGTATGAAATTTCTTACCAAATAACAACACTAAAAAAATCTTTACTTTTCATATCAAACGATTTATCCACATGTATACATAATATATTAACTAGACATTTGTATTTTCTCGCTTATAAAGTCAGGATTTAATTTTAATATTTTATATTGTTATTTAATTATGCATTACACACTATAAAAAATAGTTTAATTATAATAACCATTGTATGAGATCCCGATTTCGTTTAATGATACGGGAATATAAAATATATAATATAACATATTTACACTTGAGTAAGTTTGATTAAATCAATTGTTTTAATATAATTTAAGTAAAATAGATAATATACATTAAATGATATGAGATTTAAAAAAACTTGCAAAATAAACCATTTTAAATACGATGCAGCTAGCCTTCTTCCTTTGTTTTTTATTACATGCTTATTCGTTTAAAATTTATTTATTAAATATGACTGTGATATGTATCCAAATGAATTAATTTCAATAATAAATTTTATATTAAAACGTCAGTGACAGGGTAAAAAAATGATGGTGACAGAATTATGAATCCACCACTACAATTTTATCTTATCCAGAGTGTGGTGAGTAGAAGTTGGGCTATCCTGTGGCCAGTGGTCCAAGAAGTGGGCTTCCAAATTAATTTCCAGTGAGGAATTACTCTCCAATCTCATCCATATATGATCCTATCCTAGAGAATAAAATCACAAATGGTTCCACTCATTCACTTTTATGTTTAAAAGCATTTTCTATCAGGTTACAAGGAGACCAAAGGCACCAATTTTGTATCAATTAAAGCTTCCATCTCTCTCTATGTAATAAAGTAGTTAAAGAAGTTTTGGAATAAAGGAAAACCCAGGAGAATAAAAGGCATCAACATTGATGCCATAGCTATCTCTTTTTACTGTCCTAAGAACCCCTTAATAGCAAAAGGATTATTGACTGGTCTTAATTCCTGTACTCTTAGTTGTACTTATATACATCAGAATAATAGAAATATGTGAAAATTAATTCAGTGACAAAACGAATTGTATTAATATCCAAAACGTACCATTAATGGCTTGATATGACAACTGAGATGTGCTGGCTTGCTATTTTTGTTCTTTCCACCGCAAATAGTGGCATTCCTAAACAACGTTTATACAATGTAGTCTAGCAGTGCACGCATCTGATGTGAGACATGAGTGTATATGGTTACGCAAATTCTTAATTAATTAATCATATTTGGTAATTGGGATGGTCCGAAGACGATGGAGGTATAACATGGCTCAACTAGACAAATATTTGTATAGTTCTTATTAGTTTATTTTCGTAATTGCTTATCATTTGTCTAATTAAATACTTGTTAGTTTATTTTCGTAATTTCTTATCATTTGTTTAATTATCAATTCCTTACAGTGTTCTCCAAGATCCAACATTAATGAGACAGGAAATCCTATAGATTGACCGAAGATCATCCTAGACTCCTAGTCCACTAACCTAAATTTAATTATTTACCCTTGCAATTAATTACGATAGATTAAGTTTATCTCTGACTTTCAGGAACCCACTTGAGGTTAAACAATTCTTTTACTATTTATTTTAGTAGGATTTGTTCTTTTGCTTAATTATTGAGAAGGAAATGCTGCTGGCCTATACTGTATGTCATTCATGAACAAGGCATCAAAGAAAGCTTATAAATAGTGTACTAATTATTTGTGTGCAAAGGCAGGATGTGTCACCCTTGGGTAACCTGGGAGATTAAGATATCTTAATTAGGACAAAAAATACAACTTTGGTTTGTTTAAGATTATGTGCATCAGCACATGACATCAATGACCTGTGCTCTTGTCATGGACATGTGCTACTCCTTTAAGGCTGCTATAAGATTTCCATTTTTCTCTTTTTCTTAGATGTTATTCTAGTCAAGTGAGACAGAACACAATCAGTGGGGTGGAAAGGATAACCCTCTGAGTTAGGAGTTAGTACATATGAAGATTGCAAAAATAGGTGACAAGCTTATCAAATTAGTATTAACTATTTACTTTACTTGTAATCATGATTTTGAGTTTGAAAAGTACTAGATGTTGGATCTATCGCTATAACGATCTTGCCTGTTTCAAACCCATGTCTAGCTGTCCGGTAGTGACTGAGAGTGCGTGCATCTTGATCCATGCAACTTACCTACCTAATGGGGACCATCATTTTAATATTGTTACCATTACTATCTGGATCGTGTTAAGGTTAAGATTCTCTCTTATGAACCCAAGAACTAGTCTTTTCTGTTAGTGTATCTTCCACCTAGTGTGGTACACAAAAGCATATTCTGTACCTTTCTAATAATTTCTCCCTTTTCTATTTCCAAATGTCATCAAATTAATGTTTGCAAACTAATAATATTCAAAGAAAAAAAGTTTAAAAAAAATGGGGCAGGGAGAGGTTGGAGTAGGTGAGTTGGGTATAGACTTAGTCCAATCTTTATCAAACTAGCACGGATAGAAACAAAAATGGTTAACAAATTGAACTAAACGCGAGTTCCGTAAAATCATACTCTATAATTGACATGTGCTCTGTAACTATGCAATCAGCATGAGATACGGTAGGAAGTGGAAGCTTCAATAGGCTAAAAATATAGTATTCGTACTCTCCAAGAAATAAATAAAGGAGGAACTAGAATTCACACACACCAAACTTGGAAAGGTTAAACTAGGCGCTGGGGCATGCTACTAAACAATTGTGTTAACATACGAATTAGAAACATGATATTTCTTTCTCATTATTTTGGCCTTTACCCACACAGGCTAGCAAACAAACAAGGAGCACCAAAAATCGTTTAACAATGGATAAGATGTTGTTGTCCACTAATTTATAACTATATTTAGGTGTCCAGAAGACAGGGCGCCGTATAAATTTGTATTGGCTTCGAATGTAAAGAGCATCCTCGTTAAATATGTTCGATTATATATAGCTTAAATATATGTGTCACGCCAGGCAAATAGATATTCGAGATTAAATTTAACTAAAAGAATTATTGATTTATGGTCAAAGTTAAATCGATCTTAGACACTTATTTTGTTTTAAATATTTCATAAAGTATAATATAATAAACCTAATAAATACGGAGATATTATCGTAATAATCATCCATATTAAAAACAAAGGATTAACAATAATAATCTATTAATTTCGATTCGTTTGCACTTGCTTGTCTCGTTAAATTTATATCAAAGAAATAATATATTTTTTTGGAGCTTTCTATTCCATAGATGAACTTAACAGAAAAAACTGAACGAGACTTACATTTATATGGAAACAAGTAAACAAGTGGTAAGTAGAGAGGGCCATGTTGTTTTTCAATAATGAGAATGGTGAAGCTGAGATCCACTTATTTTGAAACAGCAGTTTTCAAATTTCATCAAAACAAGTCCGAAAATTAAAAGTTAAAACATTATGTCAACAGAAGAATTGCACAATTCCCAATCCAATCCCATCATGTACAATTCTTCAAACCCCCCATCGTCTTTTGAAAAGTTGGAATAAAAAAGAAAAAGGCAAATATATATGACCACAAATAATTAAAACCCCTCAACACACCTCATAGGCGATGGACAAGCTTTCCCAAGTAAACAACAAACCGAATTTGAATGTGGGAAAGCACAACATCACAAGTGAGCTAACTAACTTTGAAACGCTAGAAACACCAAAAAGTGATTTGTTTACATGCTTCTAGCCAGCATTTCTTGGAATCTCCTATCAGACTCTTGCTTTTCCAACCTAAACTTCTCATGGCAATTGGCAATGAACATTTCTGCCAACACATCAATCTCATTCATTTCATGCTCATTATTTGCACCCTTTTTATTTTCATCTTCAACTTTCTTCTCTTCAAGCCACCTTAGGTACCCAGCAAGCTGTGAGTCAGGACAATCCTCACCTTGTTCTCCCGAGTCATGACACGTGGCAAACAACCCTTCATAAACAGGTTCAGGAACCGGTAACACGTGAGATGATTTGGAGGAGCACCAGTTATAGTGAAGCCTGAAGGAACCTAGAATGATCTTCTTGCGTCTGTTGTAATGCTTTGATGAGTTGTCTTTAAGAATCTCAACTATGACAGCTTTGACTTTGGAGAGTGCACGAATGATTCGGCACAAGTGGGAAACTATGAGGGTGTGGATGATTCTCTTTAGCTTCATGGAGCTTATGGTTGAAGGTGGTGATGATGATTTTACTGAGAAAACTTGAAGAGGGTACAAGGTTTTGAAATGGGACGGGCTAAACATTTTTGTGTGAATAAGCGGGGCAGGTAGAGATAGAAACAGTGTGTGTGTTTGTGTGAGAGAGTGAGGATTCTGTGTATTTATGTATTATTTGGTTCATGTTCAAGAGCTGTTGTAGTTTATATGGATGCTAACCTTGTTCAATTACTACTTTGCCCTTCCTTTTTTAGTTTATTTAAAGGACTGCCCTATACACTTTTTTGTGGAAAAATAGTCAAAATACAATGGCATTGTTCTTTTTCTTTTGTGGATATGTTGGGGATAAGACCCGCTTGTTTGTTTTCAAATAATTTGGCAAGTTTCTGCAGCTTCACGATCACTCCATTTGCTTCTGTTGTGTTATTATGTTTATAGTGGTAAACAGTTCTAGAACGGTGATTATGGCTCAAGAATCGCAAGGATTACGAGCCCAAGGATTATAATATGTAACATAGAAACTATTATTAAATGTTTCAGTAATATCCCTGCAGTTTCCTCAACATTGCTAGCGGTTTTCTTTATTGATTTTTTTAACATAAGTTTAAAAACACACAATAGAAATTTATTTATGCTACATTTTTATTATTAGTAATAGAATATCACAAAATCTAATACATTAATACTATTAAATATTATAATTTTTTCTTAAAAAGTTATTTTTTTAGAAATTTTTTATTATGCATTTCTAGACATACATACGTAAAAATAACCATTTTTTTTATGACTAAGAACTTTCGTCCAAATGTGCTAAAGCAGTTTTTTTGCGTAAACAATAGCATCTTATAGATTTATACGTACTTTGACACTTTCTTTACGCAGACCTTTATATGCATTGTATTATGATATGGGGGAAGAACGTGTGTCATTGAGTGACATAAGAAACTATATCACCAAAATAATAATAATAATAAAAGAATAACGTAAGAAAGTTGGATAATACCGTGGAATGATTTTATTGAAGGTTAATGATGTGCATGCATACATAGTCACCTAACCTTTTCCTTTTGATGGCAAAAAAAGAGAAAGGGGGGGGGGGGGTTGATTATGACTAACCTCGAATTTGTTTATCGTAATTTTTTCTTTTTTAAGAAATTACGACGTTCAAGTAATTAAATCCAATCCTTAACAAAAGAAAATAAACTTGTTATATGGTATAATAACGAGGTTTTGGTTACTTAATTTAATCAAATATGTATTTAAAAATTCTTACCTGAGTCTATGAAAATACTTCAAAGTTTCTATCTCAAATTAATTAAGATTACATGCTTTATAGAAAGTTCAAAACCTCCCTAAATGTACCATTCTGCACACGTAAGTGAATCACTTAACAATTACAAGGAAATACTCACTCACGTTTCACAAAAAGACTTTTCATTAGTTATGTGATCTTTCCCTCTTACTCATGGATTTCTCACATTAGTTTTTTTTTTTTTTAAATTATATGGTATCCATAAAAAATTTTCAGGATACCATAAAAAAAAAATATATATTTAAATACGTATTTAAATAATAAATTTATTTAATAATAAATTATTATATTTGTTATATTTGAATAAGTTGAAGAAAATTTAAGTTAAAACTAAATAAATTAAAAGTTACAAATAAAATAATAATATTATATTAATATTTTTTTTATATTTTTAATTTTATTATTATTAATATTTAATTATTAAATTAATATATTATTTATAATTATTTTTATTTATAATAAATAAAATTTACTTAAATATAAATTATATTTTATTTGAAACTAAAAATTTATAAAACATAATAAAAAAATAAAATAAGAAATTTAATAAATAATATATAATAATAATAATAATAATAATATGATCATGTATAATTTTAAATAAATTATATATAATAATTTTTTTTAACTTAAGACGTGTCTTTTTTTATTTATATAAATTTTTAAAGTAAAACATCTATAAAAAAATTTTAAGGTATCACAATATATACTCTTTTTTTTTACACAATTAGATCTCTATATAATAATGATATACATGACTTCTTTCGAGAATGACATTAATTATTCTTCACATTAATTGGGGTCTAAGATATATTTAGGATAAAAAATGATGAAAGGTTTAGAAGGAGAAATTTAATAAAATATGATGAATTTTGAATTTCAAAAAGGAGAAAACTTTAATATTTTATGATTTCAACTGAAATATAATATTTTAATTAGTGAATTTTGGAAAAAAAATTATGCTAGTTAAATTAATTCAATTAATAAATTTTACAAGTGAAAAAACTGAAAAAAAATACATGATTATAATAAGAAAAAAAATTAAATGAATAGATTTGATTAAGAATTATTAGAAAATTAAAAATCACATATTAATAATAATAGAAAACTAAAAATTCAATTATTCATTAATATTATTTACTGTTTAATATATATGTTAAGAGGTTGTCTGTGAATGGAGAGTTTTAGAAGGAAATAGAAAAAAAAATTATTTTAAAAAAATATATTTAAAATTAATATTTTAAAATAAAAAAATAAATTATATATTAACATAAAATTAATAAATAAATAATATATTTATCATTATAAATAATATATAATTTTTAATTTAAAATTAAAAAATATACTTTTCCCTTATTTTTAAAAAAATCTCCTCCAAAATATAATATAAATCTTACACACTAAAACGTACAAAACTCTGACTCGGTCTCTTTATTCATTTCCAATATATATCGCTCACATTAATTTTATTATTTAGTTTCTTAGCACCTAAACTTAACAATTTTATTGTTTCCACTTTAAAGATTTGTCCCTACTCATTCCATCATGAATTAATTAATGCATATACTTTGATCTTATGAATAACTTTACTGCAAGCATTTAATTATACTGGGAATAATACATTGAAGAGGGATTAAAATAGGTTTTCTTTAATTACTAACTAAATGAATAATTATTTAAAAATTTTGTTTGTTTTAATACACTTGAGAAATGATTTTCTATTGGTCAAACGCTTTCATGCACTTAAACTATATAATTATAATATCTGTACACATCAACCAATGTGGGGAAATTAGTTATTGACTTCAGTGTTGACGACCTCTGCACGTAAAATGTGAAAGCAACGCTGTAGATAAACATGCATTTAACTCAATTCTACACCTCTTATTAAAAAAATATTTTTTTTATATTATAAATTTTAGTAAAATAAGATCTATTTTATAGGATTGATAAAGGAGTCAGTTTCCGTCCCTCACTAATTGAGTATTCAATTTATATAATTAAAGTATGTTTTTTTTAATGAAATCACGTGAATTTTTTATATTAAGTATCTTATTTGATTCCTTTAAATATTATTAATTAATTTTTATTTTTTCATTCATCATGAATGTTTACTAAACATATCCAGAATATACTATTTAATTAACTATTTATTCCTTTAAATAGTTTTTAATTAAATATTGTTTTTATATCCAGAATGTTCTGTTTTAAATGTTTACTAATTAGAAATAAGAAAAAGTGTATAAGTACCTTAAAACTATTTTATCCTTGCAAGTTTGAATTATTTGATACAAAATCTGAGTTACTAGTAGATCCTCTGGGATTCTGGTCTAGAAGGTGATAATTTAAGTGTATCATAGCAATTTGTGTAATTTTTAAATTAATTTGTGTTTGAATGGAATGTGTGTGGGAATTTGTATTGGAAGTCCTCTTCTCAACTTTGATCGTAAGATAAGGGAGAAGAGATTGTTCACACGTGTTGGATCAACAAGACGATGATCTGATGTTCAGCTTCATCGGTCGTTAATTTTGACTGTAACATTTCAGAGTCATTAGGTATCGATTAAAACAATTATGTTTAATTAAAATTATTATACATAATTTTTATTGTGTACTTTTTAATACACATTCAATATATATTCGTAATAACAAATCATATAAGACAAAGTTAATATAAAAAATCACTTAAATAAGATAATTAATGTTGGATGTGCTTAATAATGCTTTTTCTATAAAAATATAAATAACAAAAAAATAATAATAATTGGGAGAGCTACAACTCTCCCCCTTTCAAACAAATTTGCCACTAAGCTTGATGAAGAGCTTAAGGGATATACTGAAATTTTGAATGTGATAATTTTGTTAACTTTATTATTAAATAATTTTATTATTTTAATAGATATTGATTTACCTGTAATGATTCACTGTTCTTAACTTTGAATATTATTAAAAATTTATATGGTATTGCCAAAAAAAAAAAAAGCTACAGAATTAAATTTTCTTTCAAATGTTAACGCCATAAATTAGAAAGTAAATATCCTGTTTAATTAGCACAGAGTGAAAACTTCTCTAATTAAAAAAAAAAAACTTTCAAAGCAGGGAATACAATTTTTCTCTTTAATTAAAAAGAAATAAAAATTTATCTCTGATAAAATAAGATATTCATTTTTCATCTCTATCAGCGGTGGATATTTTAAATTTAATTTTAACTTTTTATCATCGTTTGAACTTTGAAATGATATTTATGTTGAGAGGATATTATTTTATCGCATATCGCAGTTAGAGACAAAATATCTCTTTTTCTATAAAAAAAAAAAATAGTTATGCCTATATTTATTACAAATTTTATTTTAAAATATTTTAGTAAATTTTTTTAACTATTTAAAGATAATTACTTATTTTTTTTTTAAATAATGAGTTTTATTAATAACATTTGTTGTATAAAAACTTAATCCAGTCCTTAAGTGATGACTTATAATTAATTAAGTTTTTTACATTTCTATACAATTAAATCAACAATCACAATATTATAGTCGATCTAAACAAAATGGTTTCCAACAAGCAATATTTGTAGTCTAGAAAAACAAGAATTATCATAATATATATTAATTAACTAAAAACATATTATTTCTTCATTTTAAAATATTTACCCTTTTACAATAATTGCATATTTTTTTAAAAAAATATTAACAGACAAGATTATATGAAAATACAGAAATTCACAAATTGTCATTTATCTCAATACTTAAAATATTAATAATATAATGATATTATTTTTAAATAATTTATTAAGTAAAGATATCAAGAAAGAAGTAAAATTAAAAGAATAATTATGTTTTTATAATTTGAAATGTAAGAGATAAAATGTAACAAGATTAAAATGAACGAAATAATAAAAAATATGCATGACATTGATGTATTTTTTTTTATTGGTTATTGACTTACGAATATAAGACTTTTGTGAGACATGTTTTTTGTATCACTTTACTGGAATTAGAAGTTGGCCTTTGCCGACTAAGTGAAGCTGCAAGTTATCTAAAATCTTAATGCATGGAGGTTTCTTCTTCTCCTTTTGTTTAACTTAATTATCTATTAATTTGTACTTTAATAGCCCTTCCTAACCATCAATTAGTTGGATTTGAAAGAGACATGCGAGAAATTACGTGCACTCAATTATTTGTTTAAAAAGAAGATACGAGACTTTGTGTGCTGACCCTCTGTCCCTGCTCATGAAAATTACCAGTTTTCCATAATTTTTATAGTTTATTGAGTTTGTTCGTATAATCTTCTACGCAACTCTATTGTCTGTCTAATTACCTTATATCTCACTCCAATGTCAAGTAGTTTGAGTTGCGAACTGGCCATGTTTTGCATGAAAAATATTTATACAAAATATTTTAACATTATTCTTTTATGATCACTTACACACATGTACACAGAAGAAATAAAGTCGATTGGAGGTAGGGTGACTTTGATTAATGCCGTTCTTAATTTTATGTCATTGCACTCGTTATCCTTTTTTAAGGTGCCGAAGTCGGTAATAAAGGAGATTGTTACTATCCAATGGAATTTTTTATGGAAGGGTGTTAAGGATGGATCTAAAATCTCCTGGGCGAAATGGAAAATGGTATGTA